TGAGCTACATACCTGGTCCTTTTTGAGACAGAGTCTTGCTAAGTTGCCTAGGCTGGCCTCAAAGCTGTGATCTTACTGCCTCAACCTCCCTAGCTGCTGGGATTACAGGCATGTGCCACCATACTCAGTTACAAAACTACCTTTTATTTATCACTTAATATATATGTCTAAGCCTAGTTATAAGGGACAGGATACAGACAAACCACCACCAATTGGACAAATCTCATCAAGTAACACTGTCACAGCTGAATACCCTAATTTTTCAGATGGAGAAAATGAGGTCCTGAGACAGGAGGCATTTGCCCAGGGTTTACAAGGAGCCAGATGCTGAACCTTTGGAGATTCTACTCCTACATATTGCAGTACCAAAGCACTCAAGATCATTAAGCCTTGGAATACCTCTTTGAATACAGATTGAGGTAGGGTTTCAACCTTATTTTATTGTACAGAATCTCTTACAGCTGCCTCAGTACCATTTATTGATGAGTTAATAATTAACCTCATGAACTGCAACAGTATTCCTTAATCTTCATATGTCAGTAGGTCTGTTAACCTGCTGTTCCACTGGTCTGTTTGTGTATCAGTGTCAATACCATAAATGGCTTAAATTGCCATTTCTTTATAAATATATTGTGATACTTGGTAGGGGAGGTCTTCTGCTTCTGTCATACAGTTTTCAAATCAATTTAAGTTCTAGTAAAAATTTGAGATTTTCTTTTTAAACTTTATTTATTCGTTTTTTAATGTGGTACTGAGGATCGAACCCAGTGTCTCACATATGCGAGGCAAGCCCTGTACCACTGAGCTACATTCAACCCCAGCCCAAAATTTGAGATTTCAATTAGAATTTATAAACATTATTTGAAAATGAGCATCTTTATCATGTACTTTTAAAAACTATTTTTTTCGTTGTCAATATAGCTTTTATTTATATTATTTTATATGTAGTACTGAGGATTAAACCCAGGGCCTCACACATGCCAGGCAAGTGTTCTACCAGTGAGCCAGAACTCCAGTCCTCTGTACTTTAAAGTCTTCCTATCCATTAATAGTAATATAGGTCTTCATTTACTTGGGCCTTAATACCCTTCAGTAAAGCTGTCCATTAAGGTCATGAATCTCTTGACAGATTAACTCCTGTTACTTTGGGGAGAGTATCTTTTTTTTTTTTTTTCAAATTTTTTGAGTTGTACATGGACACAATGCCTTTATTTATTTATTTTTTGT